TGACTTCAAAGCAAGAACACCTCCCATTGACTTTAACCCCCCTGGCGGTATTCCTGAGTTAACTTTCAGTACCAGAAGTGGTAAACCCAAGCTACACCTTATGCTGCGCTCCTGCAATGTCCCCCATGCAGCGTCTTCGGCCATGTCCTCTGGCCGATGCCAGCATCCGTCATACGGCATACGTACGGGACGGAACCGCAGGAATTTAAAAAATTAAAAAATTTGACTTTCACTCAATACACTAAAATCTGATAGTATTACATTACTGTATCAAACCATTTGACATACATTTTGTCCCGAGTGCTTTGTCCTGTGCCCTGCCTGCATTTTTACTGTTCTTTCTGCCTGGAAACTGAGAAATGTCCATGGCGTCCGAAAAAGCGTCCCTTTAGGTCAAAAGCTGTTTTAGACCAGCTAGAGAACAGCGATAGCAAATTGTTCTAATTGCAGAATTGAGTGATAATGATTTGTGGTGAAATTTGTCATCAGACACTAAAAACGATTTTGCAACTTTGCTCAGTGATGTGCAAACTTGGCGCTATATTTCAAATTTCAGTGTTTTTAGTTTGATTATATATTTTTATATTATTGAATTAAACGAAGTATTATTATATTATTATTTTTTTTATGATTATTTATTATATTATAACTTATGATTTCGTGTTTCAAATTTTATCATACTTGGGATGTTTACTAGAGTCTTGTTCGGACAGATTTCAGTGAGTTATTCCTAAGAATTACAGGCCTACAATAAAAGAACAACATATTTCCATTGAAAACAGTGTACCGCTTTGAGCACAGAAATACTGACATAATCAGACCACTAGGGAGGTTAATGCAAAAACACCTCCCATTGACTTCAATGCAAAAGCTCCTGTCAATAGCAATCCTATATGAACACTTATCTCCACTTGCCACTCTACCAATTACGAGTCTAGAATGCACCGCTACAAACTCGCATAGGACCCTTTTCATAATGACTCTTAAAACTCAATGCCTTTGGATGGCTTTAGTGTGAACAACCTCAATAGGAACACAATATCTAGCCTGCCATGCAAATCTGTGAATTTGAAAACTCATCCAGAATTGCATATGTGTAAACCAGGGCGGCTCCATTCACACCTGGGTGTTTTTTGGGACCATGGCATAATCCATGTGATCACTAAATGTATAGGTTCAGGTGTCATTGAAAACTTCAACGGCACCTAAAACGTGGTGTGGTTTTGCCGTGATTGTCATGCGGCAAATCGTATCGCATGAAGCTTGTCCCCCAAAAGTTGCCTTGCCCCAGGCACTGACAACCCATGCTACTCTAAATAAAAGCTTAACTTTTTTAGGCTCTTAGATTCAAAGCAAATTTGTCAAGCCCTGCTTTAAGGCCCCTTTACATTGTTGAGGTCCAACACATTATATGGTTGATTTACTATAGACAAATAGACTGTGTACTTTGCAAAGTGCAGTTGAACTCTTCAAGTGCAGTTGCTCCAGAGCTTGGTAAATGAGCAGAAGCTCTGTTGACTTCCATCAGCCAATCAAGTACAAGCAAAAATGAAGTTTCACTTTGCAAAAAATACCCAATCACATGTCAGGAAAATATAAAAAAAAACTGCATTTTTGCTTGCACATGATTAGATGATAGTCTGCAGAGCTTCTGCTCATTTACTAAGCTCTGGAGCAACTGCTCTTTCAGAGTGCAACTGCACTTTGCAAAGTGCACAATCTATTTGCCTTTATTAACCCCTATGTGTTTTTATGCAGTGCAGTGAGATTCATTCCTAATGTCACTCCAACACACATTGACATGCACTATCATACTTTTTGGGGTGCCGTATTGCAAAGAAATGGTGCATATCTGATATTCAGTTGATTTGGTGCATATCTAGCCCATTCACATGGACTGTGTATTTTGCAAAGTGCAGTTGTTCCAGACCTTAGTAAATGAGGTAAAGTCCACTTTGCAAAGAAAATCCAATCACGTGCAAGGGAATTAAAAAAAAAAAAATTTTTTTTGCATTTACTTTATTGGATGATGGAAGTCAGCAGGGCTTCTGCTCATTTACTAAGCTCTGGAACAACTGCACTTGTGAAGTACAAATGCACTTTGCAAAATGCACAGTCTATCTGCCTTTAGTAAATTAACCCCTGTTTTCATGCAGTGCACTGCGATTCATTCCTAATGACATTCCAACACACATTGACGTTCACTAACATGCTTTATGGTGCACTGCATTGCAAAGAAATTTAGTTGATTTGGTGCATATCTCCTAGATTGCAAACTCCAAGGCGCAGGGCCCTCCTATCCCTCTTGTATTGAACTGTATTGTTGCTGTATTGTCTCCCGTTATATTGTAAAGTGCTGAGCAAACTGTTGGCGCTATATAAATCCTGTATAATATTATCTATCCCATTCACATTAACACAGGTTAAAGCAGAACTAAATCCTCCTATCCATAGGGGACAGCACCATGTTATACGCTATGTACATCTGCAGTTGCCATTTTGCTACACCTCTGACTAGCTATGAAACCAGCCATTCAAGAGTTTCAAAGATCGGTTGAGTGTTGGCATAAGCACTTTGGTAACCGTGAGAGTCATCACCGGAAGTATGCCTTAAATGTGGCATACACTGCACATGTGCAATTGGGGAGAAAATAAATGGCCCATGGCACACAGTCATACTCCTTTCTTTTTCTCCAGAGATTGAAAAATCACATTGTATCAGCTACCATGGCAAATAGAATTTATTTTCTTTCAGTTCCAAAAAAAGTCAGCACCGTAGTATTTAGAAGCACTCCTTAGTAAACACAGGCCACTCTCTGTGTGAACAGGGCTATGTACCTAAGTAAACACTCACAATGATCTTTCCAGAGCAATTTATCTTTTCACATCTGTCATGCTTTGCTAGGTTGACAGTATGTCTTTGAAATACAAGGTGCATTATTTGTTGAGTGAGTTAGTGTTCATCAGAAAAGATGTTTCCTTTTTGTGACATCGTCCTCTTCTACTTTAGAAATTGGAATGACCGCTGTTACAAATATTTTTACCCCGGTTAAAACTGAAGCTATACTTACAATAATGTGTGATGGTTGCGGCCTGTTACTGCCAGAACTTGTGTGCTGATAACATACTTTGCCTTTTAGCTTCCCAGTAATCATAACAGTATCATACACGGAACCTGTAGCTCGTCGTAACTACAGGACTGTTGTATGATACAGCTATGTATACTTAGGAGACAGTGTGTGTTATTAGCATAAGGCCAGGGAGTGGGCTGAAGGTTTTTTCTTAACTTATTGCATTATCTGTATTAATGTAAAAAAATAAACCTTCCACTAGTTGTTCCCCCAATCATCCTCCCTAAAATCTTACCTGAAGTCTTGCACTGTGCCTGTCTGCAGCAGCGCTGGTTCTCTCTCTCTCCTTTCAGAGGTTCAGAGACAGCAGTGGAAGCCATTGGCTCCCACTGCTGTCAATCAAATGCTGTGAGGGGGGAGTGGGGGCGGGGTCTAGTCACTCTGTGCACATCAGTAGATGCACACTACCCAGTTCAGTAGCGTGCCCGTGAGTGCGCCACCATAGAAAGCGACTTCCTATGGGGGAACACCAAGAGGAGGAGGAACGGAGAGCGCCAGCGTGAGACCCCAAAAGAAAAGGTTCAGGGCCGCTCTGTGCAATACCATTGCATAGAGCAGGTAGGTATTTAATTATTACAAGTACTTATATAGTGCTGTCAGTTTACGCATCACTTTACATGTATATTGTACATTTACGTTCATCTCTAACCCTCAAGGAGCTTACAGTTTCACATTGATACTTGGGCCAATTTAGACAGGAGCCAATTAACTTACCAGTGTGTTTTTGGAGTGTGGGAGGAAACTGGAGTATCCAGAGGAAACCACTGAGGCACAGGGAGAACATGCACACTCCAGGTAGGTGGTGACATGGTTGGGATTCAAACTGACAACCCTATTGTTGCTAGGTGGTTTTATTTATATCTATATCTATATCTATCTATCTATCTATCTATCTATCTATCTATCTATCTATATATATATATATATATATATATATATATATATATATATCTGTGCCTTTATAACTCCCTTGGTGTTACTATGCCTCTAGCTGCTTTCTGCACATACAGGTGTTGGAACTTGAAAGGCAACTTCATGTTTGGTGACTTCCTGGTGCTACATTTCTGTATGTTTTTCAAGTTGTCTCTGTCCATTCACATGAGGAGAGGAGTCTCTTTCCTCTTCTTTTGTCCTTTAACAGTGGGGTATATCCAGTGGTGTATTTTGGTTTTGTCCTGCCCTAGGCAAGACTAAAATCAGGCACCCCCCGCATCTAAATTTGTCCCACCCTTTTATCTGCAAACTCCGCCCCTTCCTCCTTAGGATCCACCTCTTCCTATTAGAGCTCCGCCCACGACAACGATGGGGCGCTATTCCTCTCACTAACACCAATGATGGGGCACTATTCCTCACACTGACAGTAATGATGGGGCACTATTCCTCCACTGACACCAATGATGGGGCACTATTCCTCCCACTGACACTAATGATGGGGCACTATTCACCCCACTGACACTGGTGTCCCATCATTAGTGTCAGTGTGTGAGGGAATAGTGCCCCATCATTGGTATCAGTGTGAGGAATAGTGCCCCATCATTGGTTTCAGTGGGAGGAATAGTGCCCCATCTTTGGTTTCAGTGGGAGGAATAGTGCCCCATCATTGGTATCGGTGGGAGGAATAGTACCCCATCATTGGTATCAGTGGGAGGAATCGTGCCCCATCATTGGTGTCAGGGGGAGGAATAGTGCCCCATCATTGGTGTCAGTGGGAGGAAAAGTGCCCCCTCATTGGTGTCAGTGGGAGGAAAAGTGTCCCATCATTGGTGTCAGGGGGAGGAATAGTGCCCCATCATTGGTGTCAGTGGGAGGAAAAGTGCCCCCTCATTGGTGTCAGTGAGAGGAAAAGTGCCCCTTCATTGGTGTCAGTGAGAGGAAAAGTGCCCCCTCATTGGTGTCAGTAAGAGGAAAAGTGTCCCATCATTGGTGTCAGGGGGAGGAATAGTGCCCCATCATTGGTCTCAGTGGGAGGAAAAGTGTCCCATCATTGGTGTCAGTGGGAGGAATAGTGCCCCATCATTGGTATCAGTGGGAGGAAAAGTGTCCCATCATTGGTGTCAGGTAAGACACAGCAGCCCCTGTCCCTTTCCCACGGTAGTGTCCTTTCCACGGGTAAAGGGGGGGGGGCGGCACTGCAGAGGGACAGGTGAGGGGCAGTGGGACAGGAGGAGCTCAGAGGGACAGGTAGGGGGCAGCGTGACGGGGGGCATGGGACAGGATCAGGGCAGCGGGACAGGAGATGTGCAGTGGGACAGGAGAAGCACAGAAGGATAGGTGAGGGGAAGTGGGACAGGAGGAGCGCAGAGGGACAGGTGGGGGGCAGCGTGACAGGGGTCATGGGACAGGATCAGGGCAGCGGGACATGAGGAGCGCAAAGGGACAGGTGAGGGGCAGTGGGACATGAGGAGTGCAGAGGGACAGGATCAGGGCAGTGGGACATGAGGAGCGCAAAGGGACAGGTGAGGGGCAGTGGGACATGAGGAGTGCAGAGGGACAGGTGAGGGGCAGTGGGACAGGAGGAGCATAGAGGGACAGATGGGGGGCAGCGTGATGGGGGGGCATGGGACAAGATTGGGGCAGTGGGACAGGTGAGGGGCAGTGGGACAGGAGGAGCACAGTGGGACAGGAGCAGCACAGTGGGACAAGTGAGGGGCAGTGCGCTAGGAGGAGCGCAGTGGGACAGGTGAGGGGCAGTGGGACAGGAGGGGCAGGGCAGATGGACAGGAGGAGCGCAGAGGGACAGGTGAGGGGCAGATGTACAGGAGGAGCGCAGAGGGACAGGTGGGGACAGATGGGTGGTAGTGGGACAATGTGGGGGACAGGAGGGGGGAAGTGGAACAGGTGGGGGGGCAGTGTATCAGGGGACAGTGTGACAGGAGTGGGGATGCACCAGTCCTCCAAGCACTTACCTGTCCAGCAGGGGCTCCTCCAGATGGTGTCCCTTCTCCCATAGGTTCTCCGACGGCGGCTGCTCCGCCCCACTGACATTGTCCTCTTCTGCTTCCTCTTTCTGGCCTTCCTGCACATCCCGGCACACTGACAGCGGGTCCCGCCCCTCACACGCTCCGAGCGCACCCTTGGGATCCGCCCACCCCTCCGCTCTCCTCTGCAGCCAGTGACATGCGCAGATACGTTAGGGGGACAGATCTTCTTGGGGGGACAGATCTTGCGGCTACACTGGTCCCTCAGCCATGGCGGCCCTGCCCCTGTCCCTTTCCCTTGGAAGTGTCCCTTCCGTGGGAAAGGGGGGGGGGCGGCACTGCCGCCGTGCCGCCCCCCTGAAAAGTGCCGCCCTAGGCAACTGCCTAGTTTGTCTCGCGGCAAATACGCCCTTGGGTATATCCACGAGGGGCTTGAGCTCACAGGAAGTGGTTTCTAAAGGTCATTCACCCTAAAGGAAGACCAATAGCATTAGATGGAGCGTAGTGTGTGCTGCTGCGGCGGTGTTGAGGAGAAGGGGAGTATAGCAGTGCTGCATGTCTTAAGCACTTGGGCAGTTTATGTTTTTTAAATAAACCTAAGTTGGGTTTTTAGCTCCTGTGTGTGTAGCTATAGTTTCACCTCCTCTCTTAATTATCTGCTAGAATGATTGAATTAAAAAAAAAACAAACAAAAATCAACATGCAGGACTTGAGTCTTCTATCTTTTGTGATGCCAAGGGCAAAGATCCTTTTTCTTCCTTTTTTCTTGTGCTCCCGTTGCAGCATGGATAACGTGGACACCTCTCACTGGCTGTCCAGTGGCTGGGTCCCTCAAGTTCCCAAAAGAACGCAGCAGCACAATGACTTGGTAATGGGGATTGGTTACAGGCCTCAGCAGCTGTCTGGCTTTGTAGAGGGTTAGGTGACTTGGAGGAATAGAAAATGGGGTTAGAGGTTTTTTTTTTTTATGTCAATGGGTGTGCAGGGTCTGGGGGCACATTTACTGAGAGATGATAGGCTTTCATAGTTGTGGTGAGAAGAGGCTTAAAAAATACATCACCGTAAGCAGGTGTTTTTATTTTAGGTATCATTTTCATATGGGTTTAAATGATCACGTGCTCATCACCTGAGAGAGGCCAGTGGTTGTGCTTCTTTTCATTCGGTGTACGCTCCAAATCAGATTTCACAAAGCTTTAATTGACGTTGGGAACCTTGAACTGTACAATAACAGGCTTACGAGTGATGATAGTCTACGCACAAAACGAATGCCCTTGTGGATCGCTGTATAGGAAATAAAATGCCTTTTGTTTCTGTGGCTAGATAAGCTGCATTGTTCCTAAGCTACTGAGCTGCTGTTGAATCGTAATCCCAAGGGCCTAATTTTGAGCTTGGGCAGGGAGACCAATATTACCTCTTATTGCTGCTTATTAGTGCTTACCAGGATTTTCCTGGTTTGGAGGGAGAATCCAGGTCTGCACATAGGCTGCACTTACACATGCTGTGGGTTACCCGGTATGCTACAGTGTAACCTGTTGTATTTAGGCAGCACTTGTGTCCTGCCAAACTGGAATTGGAAATGTAAGTTTCAGACATTTTACTGATTGGACCTAATCTCACCCAATGAAAATAGTGATAGTTGTATTTCAGCTAAACTATGTTCTATCCCACATTGCCTATATGTCAGTGTGAAACACCTGTGCTGTAGGTAGTCCGTCTCCCTTCGTTTTTAAGCATGCCTAAATTGCAGTAAACCTAAGGAAGAATATTACTGCTGATGGCAGTCTTACATATCATCTACTAGCCTTGGGTGCATACCTACTGGGATCCATTCCTCCCTGCAGTATCCAAATATAAACATGCTGCACCTCTTCTGTTTTTTATTTATAAAGCTTTATTGGAAGTAGTGCAAACTCACAGAGCCAGAATGTATTACATCACTCACTGCCAGACCCTCTAATGCTCCTTCAATTCATTTCTCGCTCCAGTAGGGGCTTACTCATAAAGTTGGAGTACTGGAGCACGGTGGAGGGTTATATAAGATCCACAATTAACTATTTAGAACAAAGCCTCATTTAACAATATGGCTTGTTTTTAAAAAGGATTGTGTTCTAAATATACACAATTAGGGTCCATTATGCAATAATAGATTTCATAATAGAAAAACAACTAACCCCACTAAAACCAACATCTTCTAATACAAGATATTTTTTAAAATCAGGAAATAAAAATATTTCTCAAAGTAGAACTTAACTCTCTCAACATTGACTATTTTGCATCCTTATGCTGTTAGCATTTGTAATTAGATAGGAAAATATATCATATTTACTTGTTTTAAACATTTTTTTTACATTTCTTTAGTTACTTCCTAGTTTAAGAAAATAATGTCATACACCCCAGGAATCTTCAGGAGGGGAGGAGGGAGCACACCCTCCTACCTGCTTGCTTGAGTTAAGGGCAGATGGATTCCAGGAAGTAAATGCTACATGACTCGTGCCCTTACTCAAGATGGCCGCAGCCAGAAATGCTGGGGGGGGGGGGGTTCTAAGTGATTTCTTGCAAAATAAAGCTTGGAGACATTGATGGATGGGGGAGTTTGCTTCGAATATCAAAAATGAATTAAATACCACTTTTGGTTTGTGGTGCTAAGATACAGTGTATTTCTGCTTTAACCTGCAAGCCTGCAGAAGAAAAAAAGTGGAAAGAGGAAGAAATAATTAGCTCCTGTCTAAATTGGCCTTAGTATGTGTATGTATGAATGTGTGTTAGTGACTGATGTAAATGTCCTATATATATATATATATATATATATACATAGCATTGTGTAAATTGACGGCACTATATAAAATACCTCAAATAAATAGTAAATAGGGAAAATGCCAGGGAAGAGAGAGGAAAGAGAAAAGGGGGATGTCTCATTAATATTCAGACCATTACTTGTATTAATGATAAACATTCCATTCACAATTTAAACCATGGAGTGTAGGAGTTGGAAAATAAAAATCCAGAACACTTCTTTCCTACTGAGGATAGAGAACCGATCATCTGCTCTAATAGGATTATCTACTGTTTCTATAATCTGTAGGGATTCAGTGCTAGAATGATCTATTTGCACAAAATGATTTGCTACATTTTGTGTTATGTCCAGATTTACCAATGTTAAGATCTGTTAAGCGATCTCAGTCTTCTTTCTCTATTCAAAATTTAAATTTTAAGGGCTGTAGGTACATTTTTAAGCAGCAAAGTTTATCTGGGCAAAATAAAAAGGCATGTGCAGAACATTTCTGCAATACAGCCACCATGTTTTATCTCTTTAAGAAGCACAGTTTTTAAAAACTGCTCAGTTTACCTAATTTGTGCTCTGTGGCATCAGTGGAAAACCCGTCCACAAGAAAAAGTAGAGAGGGAGAAACAGGCTTTGCAGTGAAGTATAAATATATGTGTATATGGTGTCAGATACATTTGCATATTACATAAGCCATCTCTGCTTCATACTTAGCAAAGGTAATACAGCAACAATGTTACAATAACTCATACACTATATTGCCAAAAGTATTGGGATGCCTGCCTTAACACGTACATGAACTTTAATGGCATCCCAGTTTTAGTCCATAGGGTTCAACATACAGCGAGCCAACCTTTTGTAGCTAAAACAGCTTCAACTCTTCAGGGAGGGCTGTTCACAAGGTTTAGGAGTGTGTCTATGGGAATGTTTGACCATTCTTCCAGAGGCGCATTTTTGAGGTCAGGCACTAATGTTGGACAAGAAGGCCTGGCTCGCATTCTCCACTCTAATTCATCCCAAAGGTGTTCTATCGGGTTGAGGTCGGGACTCTGTGCAGGCCAGTCAAGTTTCTCCACCCCAAGCTCGCTCATCCATGTCTTTAAGGAACTTGCTTTGTACACTGGTGCGCAGTCATGTTGGAACAGGAAGGGGCCATCCCTAAATTGTTCCCACAAAGTTGGGAGCATGAAATTGTCCAAAATGTCTTGGTATGCTGATGCCTTAAAAGTTCCCTTCATTGGAACTAAGGGGCCAAGCCCAACCCCTGAAAAACAACCCCACACCATAATCCAACCTCCAACAAACTTTACACTTGGCACAATGCAGTCAGGCAAGTACCATTCTCCTGGCAACTGCCAAACCCAGAAACATCCATCAGATTGCCAGACAGAGAAGCGTGATTTGCCACTCCAGAGAACCCGTCTCCACTGCTTTAGAGTCCAGTGGTGGTGTGCTT